GTAGATAGTGAAAACTATATTCTCATGTTAAATAAAATACTTTGTTTCCCTTTTGGGCACCTCAAATAAGCCTGGAAAAATTGTAAAAAGATACCGATGATGGAGAAAATGTGCAAGTTCTTGATTTCATAGTTTCCTCCCCAATTATTATTATCACAATTTGTAGCAAATTATCATGAATTTGTCGTTTAATTTCTTACTTTAAAAGTCACAGCAGCTCTGTTGCTGAGCTAATGAAGGTGTTTTCCATGAGTTGCCCTTACTCTGTGGTCCCTGCAGTGCCGCCTCTTGCCTTCATGCAGGTTGCAGTGCCAGGTGTGTTTACTGCCTGCAGCCTTTCTATTGTCCTGACAGCTTTCCTCTCTTGAGGAAGGTGGGAAATATTGCATGATCCTTGTAAAGTCCAGACTCCAGGAATTGCTGCAGGAGGCATTGGAATAGGCTGAAGGCTTCGCACCAAGGAACAATATAATAATAAATGTGAGGAGGAATATGGTCATGGCTTCATTCTTCATAAAATCTTCCCATATTGCGGAGCCCTTAGCTGGACAGTAAAGCAGATTATCTCTGTTCTGCTCTGTGCTCTCCACTCTTGTCATATTTCTTTTTTGTTGCATTGGTGACTGGGTACTTTCAGAAATGAACCTCTGCACAGCAATGTATTCCTGATTTAGGTGTTGGATTTGGCCAAGCTCTGAGGCTCAGCTAGAGCTCCAACTCTGCCTGCTGTCCCAAAATCCCAGTTGGGTGTGCTTTTGTGGGTATCCAGAGCACTTGCACTGGCCATTCCCTCATCCATTTGGTATTTTCCAGCTGATCTTTCTTAGGGGGAGGTTTTGAGATCACGTTCCCCAACAGTTGTGCTGAGGATAATTTTCAATTTCATCTTGAGTGGGGTGGAATGCTGGGGTAGTAAGGTGCTTTAAACACCATGACAACCTCAAAGTCCCACTGAATTCTTCATGCTAATCCCCAGCTGCAAGGATTAGGTTGAGCTTTTTAGGAAAAGAGAATTCTAGGAAAGAGAAATTCAGTGTGTGTGACCAAACGCAGCAATGTTGGCACAGAATGTTCAGAAGCCAAATGACAGCTGCAGCTCCAAGCCCACTGACTGCAGTAGAACCAGTGATTTTACTGTTATTGGATGGCTTTGTAGAATTCTGGAGGGCCATAAAATTCCCAGGCTGCCAGCTTGGAGCAAAAAATGGGCAGAAAAATGTTCATTCTGTGGTGTTTGAGAAGGCTCTCTCAGAGCTGCAGGCATTGGCTGCTGCCTCCTCTGGGGATGGGATGTGAGCCCAGATTTTGGTCTGTTCTGGGATGGAGTGGGATGTGGGAGTAGTGAAAGGTCGGTTTGTGCCTGGAGTTAGCAGGGGGTAGCTGCCCTAGAAATAATATTTCCAGGCTGTATTTAGAATGACATATTGAGGGGTGGCTCTTGAAAAAGAGTGAACGGCCACAGGAATTATGGCAAGAGAAAAAAGCTTTGTTCATAGCAAGACATTCAGGAAACTCCAACCCTTTTGCTCATCAGAGGGGAGGTTGAAATTTGAGCAGCCTCCTATAAGGATCTCTTAAAGGAGGGAGGAAAAAATAGTTAAAAATCAGCCAAAACCCGAAGTGCCAAAAAAAACCCAGACTCTGATCAGGGTTTCTAAAGACAATACATTATTAAGCCGTGATTTTGGTTTTTCCCCTTGCCACTTGTTGCAAAAACATGGGGATGTGTTATCCTCATGGAAACATTACACCAAGGACATAACGAGGAGAATTCCAGGATTAGATTTTGAGGCTGCTAGATGTGTTTCAGAGGCACTGTTTCTTTAGTCCCTGCAGTGTTCCCACAGGGGATGCAGGGCCCTTGGTGGTGTCCCTGCCTCTGCTGGGGCATGGAGGCGGAGGCAATAATAAATTGCAGTGAACTGGGTCTGTGCAGCTCCTCCCCAGTGAGCCCAGGTGAGCAGTGTGCTCTGGACTCCAGCAGCTCCACAGAACCCTGCTTGGGAGTGAGGGCCTGATGGCTCTGTCTCGGCACCAGCCAGAACTCCAAAGCCCAGATGCTTTTTTTTCCTGGGCTTTCATTTGATCCCAAAGCAGAGCAAGGGGGGTTGAGGCGGATGGGAGCTGCCGTGTGAAGGGAAGGTTTGTGTCAGGCTGTGCTGCCACATCCTGCTCTGCTCTAGCATGATGCCACCTAACTCCAGGCAGCTGAGCAGAGGCTGACTAAGGCAGTTCACAGATTATTTTTATCTCAGCCTTGGATGTGAGCCTCAGTCATTATTTTAACGCTCCATTAAAGCCATACTGTAATGAAATATTAAATCTCACGTTAACATTTTTGTGCAGAGGTTGAATCAGTGCCCTTGTTCAGTGAGGGCACTGCTGGCATTTGCTGGGACCTGCAGGAGCAGCATCAAGCTGTAGTCTCTGCTGTCCTCTCCCCATCCATGTGCTCTGGACCATCCTTGTTTTCTGAACCCTTCCAGGCGTGGTGACTCCACCTCTGGAATCTGTGTGCAGGTGCTTTCCTGCTGCTGCTGCTGGCTCCCCATCACTCTGCTCTTTGACAGAATGCAGCCCAGCTCACGTGCGTGGCTGTGGAAGGGAAAAGCTGGGAGCAGGAGCTTTGCTCCCCCGCCTCGCACAGGGCTGGGGTGCTCCGTGCAGGACAGCACCCCAGGGCAGCTGCAGAGTGGTGCCCAGCTGGGGAGAGGCAGATAGAGAGCTGTGACCCCCTGGCTGACAGCCCGTGCCGCGGAACTGCCCATTCCTTCTTTCAGCTGCTGTATTTGCTGCGTTTGGGGTGTTCAAAATCGCTCCTGTGTCATTGTTGGCTGGGGCTTGAGTCACACCAGGGTGCCATTGGGCAGTAACTGTCTGCAGGCTCAGATCAGACTGCAGAGCTGGTTAGCTTAGGGTGGACAATCAGCAGTTTGAGAGTTTTATGAAAGTTTTGTGAAGGAATTCAGACCTCGGTGCTGAGGCTGCCTTTTGGTTAATGACCTCCTGGTGCCCAATTAGAGCTGAAATCTGAGGGGTTGAAGTGAGATTCTCCAAGGAACATTTCTCCTGCTCCTCTCACAAGCAGGGATTTGTCCCCTGACTGCTCTTGGGTCTGGGGGCCCTCAGTGCCTTTTTAATCCCAACATTAATTCCTCTCACAGACAGGTCTTCTCTGAACTGGCGAGAACTTTGAACCAAAAGCAGATTGTTGATATTGTCGATGTCCTGTGAGTGCAGGAATGCTTGCAGTGAGCTGAGGCTGCTGACTGAAAGCTGCTGCAGTCCTGCACATTCTGCAATAACACTTATGCTGTATGTTTTAATCAAGCTCAGCAAGCAGCTCAGTCTCCCTGATCCGGCACAGTATCCTGCTACGGGTTTGGATTTGAATCTGTTCTGCTTTTCAATGAACATTTTCCTATGAAGCTTTTCTTGCTTTGTAACTTTGGGATTTGGATCAGAAAGAGACTTTGGATAAATTATTCTTTTCTGACAGAGAGCACACACGAGTGCTCAAGGTTGTTGTGTTCATGCACAGGGCTTCATTCTTGCAGGAGTGGCTGCCTGTTTGTGGCCCTTCCAGGAGCCCCCCGCTGCTTTTCATAATAGATTAATTAAGGAAGCATTCAGTGGGAACTGGGAGGAGGCATTCTAGGGATGGGAAGGAGGAGGGATGTGTGTCTCACCTAATAAATAGGGTGAGACTTGTACAAAGAGCTGTTCCTTCGCTCTTCAGTCTGCCCTGGCTAAGAAGAGATTCATTAGTATAAAACACTCCCTAGATAATTTTCCACTAAGTTTTTTGGGGGGTTTTTTGTGCTTTTTGCTCAGACCAGACTTCCAGAGGAGGTGTGAGTTGCAGAATTTCACTGGAAAATTTTAATCGTGTTATACAGCTTTGTAACAAATGGCTCCAGCTGATCTTGGATTAATTTAGGTTATTTGAAAGAGTTGCTGTGGGGATAGAAAAATCTGCAGAATTATTTTCTTTCCGCTTGAGAGAGAGAGAGAAATCATTTTCCAAAATGCTGGGTCCTGCTCACACAGGGACAGAACCAGCTCCAGAACCACACACCTGCCAGGAGCTCTCCTGTCCCAGCCTTGTGGGAACGTGCAGCAGCTTCTCCTCTTGTCCTGAGGGTCTCCAGCCTTGTCACTCTGCCACTTTGAGAGATGTTGTTGCTGGGGACTTACTGTTACTTCAGTTGGAGTGTGTCTGAAAAATAATACTCACACATTTGCAGAGAATTATGAACTTATGGCAAAATCAGTTTTTGATAGGGGAAAAATAACCTGTTTTTTCAAATACCAATTTTTAGAGATGAAAAGTATTGTTAAAACTTTAAGCATTTTTTAAATTTAAATTTTTGTGGATGACTTTATGGTTTTGAATGAAATCTCTTTTGCAGAGAAGAGCTATATCAAGCATTTTAGTAGTCACTAATAATCGAGGTTTTCCTGCTTCCAGCTCCTGTGCAGGCACTGGAAATGGTTCCAGTCTCTTTGGGTTTACCTTTTGAATGTATGGGAAGGCAGCACAAGGACAGGCAGAGAGGGGCCAGCGCTGCCTCACCCACCTGTGCAGCTGTGGGCCTTTAGGAGACCTGCTCCTCATGAATCACCTTTGGTACTGAATGTTTATGCACCTTGGATGGGGTTTCCAAAGGAGCTTGTCTGGTTTCTGTACGTGTTGGAGACCAATTTTTACCCATGGAAACAGGCTGTATAGGATGGAGTTTCTTTTGCTGAATCTTGGTTTTGTTTCTGTGTCAGTTGGAATGAAAATTTAGATTAATTTTTTTTTCTGTTTCTAAGATGTTTGTGCAATAAAAGCAAGTTTTCTGGCTCTCGTGTAGGCAAAAAGGAGTGCCATGGTTTATCTGCTGGCTGGGAAGTGTGGCTGGGGAGCACCTGAGGCAGCAGGAACAGGGATGATGATTAACAAAGGTGTGACAGGGCTCTAATTAATGCCTGTACTCTTTTGTTCCCTTCTCCAGGAAGCTGCTGGAAGAATGCTGTGACCCTGGGCAGCTCTTTGCGATGACAAAGACGAATTCCCCCATGGGAAAGAACCTCTGGTTTGACGGGGAGTTTTTATATTCTGTCACAATTGACAATGCAACTTACTCTCTCTTCCCACAGGTTAGTAACCGTGTTTTGTTTTCATTTTAAGTATTGAAATACTAAATGGTAACATGATTCAAATAAGTATAAATATGCTAAGAAATTGTATCTTCATTTTGCAATACCAAACAGCATCTGATTTTTTACTTCCACTTTCTCAAAATTTTGTTTATGCGAGTGGTTAATACTTCTCTGGCTGCTTTTTGGAATGTACCCAAGGGATGAACTTGGGTCGCCTGTCTCGATTTCTGAAGAGTTTGGTTCTGGCTGTTTCAGGAGGGTGATTTCTGCATTTCAGCCAGGGGTTGCAGTCCCTGAGAGCCCTCGCCTGCAGTGGCTCCAGCTCCCCCTGTGCAGCCAGGAGGGGAGAGAGCTGTGTGTGACTTGTCCCCAGTCACTCCCAAGCTCATGGAGTTCATTGGTGGCAAACGGTGTAAGCCCAGCAAGGGCCGGCAGCTGGACTTGGCTGATTCTTGCGGTGATTTTCAATGTTGGAAGGGGTTGGTTGTTAGTGTCTATCAAAGATGCTTTGGGTTAAATACAGGGTTTTTGAGAGCTGGCAGTTGGCAATACTGATCTAGGCTGCTTCTTGTGTTTTTAATTAGCACAGGAACTGATACTAAATAGTGAGTTTGTTATATTGAATTCTGTATGCTGAACACAAATGCCCAGAGGAATTCTGCAGGCCTTTATCAGACTAAATCCTGCTAGGCTTAAAAGCCAAGGGGGATTTATTTGCAGTTGATTTATTTTTAAAAGCATTTTTCTGCTTCTCTCTTTGTTTCAAGAGCAGTACTTGCCTGGATTTTTCAGGCTCCTTCTTCAAAGAGTGTTGCCTATTATGAGCTTGCTTGCAAGCAGCTTTCCTGAAGATGAATATTCCTTTCAAAAGTATCCAGGAGCTTAAAACAATTCAAAAGTACGGTTAATACTCTGAAATGCCGTGGGGATGTAACAGGGATGCAAAGGGCCACAGCTATGTTGATATAATAAAAAAATCTTTCCTCTGGAATAAATAAAAATGGCTCCATCCACATTGCTGGGCTTGAGCAGTTTGGTGATTGCAGGAGATTTCTCAGTCCTGAACCAGTGACTAACTTATAGGATAATGTAACTCAAAATCCAGTAGGGAACTTGCTGTATTTCATCTTATAGAAAAATAAATATGTCCAAAGTTAACATGTAAAATGTCACTTATTTCTGAATGTGAGCAATACAAAACAGCATAATTTTTCTTCTGAGCAGTCTGTAGATGAAGTTCTTACAGCTGGGTCAACATTTCCTGACAGAGTGCTTTTCCACTAGAAATGCTCTTTCATGAAAATATAAATTTAGAATCACTTCATTAGTTTTTCAATTTTTCTTTGAAGTGAAAAGGTTGAAAGGTTTTGATGGTCTTAGGACATTTGATTTTAACTTTTTTTTTTAATGTAATACTTGAGCTGTTGGGGTTTCTTTTATCAGCTCTGTTGCTGCCTCCTTTTTCCTCAGGCTTTGAGTGATTATATTACTCCTTTTCTTTCTTCAAGTTTTTGAACCACCAAGGGAGAAATTTGCGAAAGAGAAAAGCTTTTATGTGGAATTAGTCATTCAGTGCTGCATTTCAGTTTATGAGGACCAAATAGGATGTGGCAGCAGATGCTGGAAGCAGCTCCCCTTGGCCTGCCCTCTGTGTGGTTTTAGCCCTGGGTGTTGAGAATGAGGTTTTGGGAGCAAAATAAAATTATTCATTGAAAAAAATGTTCTGGTTTCATTGTATTTCACTTAAGCAGTTAGACACTTTTGGTACTCGTAAATTATTTTAAATTACTGAATTATGGTTCCTCGTCTGCTCAGATCCCTTGTAAAGTTTTTCCTGCAGAAGCTGTCAGTTGCAGGAGTGGCTACTTGCACTGAGATCCTCATGAATAGTCATCACAAATAGTGCTAGAGAAAATCAAAAAATAAAACTGCCAGCCACAAAAATAATTGGGGCGTGTGGCATCTGTTTCTGGGTACTTTGTGATCAGGAGAAAGGTGACATTTTCCAAATCACACATATAATACAAATATTTATTTACAGTTTAAAATCCCACCTCTAATAGAAAAGCAGAGGAAAAGTTGCTCTAATTGTAAATGTAAATTGGAGACATTTTCTGAATGGTGTGTTGGGTAACAGTGACTTACTTGATGATTGTGCTGTGTGATTTGTGTTTTTCATTCAGGGTTCCTGTTAAATTTTTTGAGCTTATGCTCACAACATCTTTTGTTTAGCCAGGGATTTTGTGTTGTCCTGCTGGTGCTGTTTCCAGGCAAGTTCCCTGCTCTTGCAGCTATAGCCTGCAGCAAGTAGAATAATTTGTAATTATTTCAGGGAGAAAAGTCAGGTGTGGAAAGGGAGTTTGCTGTAGAGTCTGCAGGCTTTGTCCCTTTTTGCATGCTGGGAATACCAGGAAAGCCCAGCAATTGCTGCCCTGCTGGTGATTTTGGATGTGCTCTGTTAATTCATTGCTAGCAATGTGCTCTGCTCTCAGTGATGCTCTGTAATTAAGAACTCTTGGGGAAATACAGTGAAATATTGGCTGTCATTTGTGATACCTTTTCTTGATGCCTTGGATGTGGACATAAATTTTAGGTCTAAAGATGTTCTTTTAAGCAGCTTTAATTTCTATTTTCATTAATTCTGCTGCCTAAGTAGGTACCACCTTGTGTGCCTTGAGTTGTATTTAGTTAGGATTTGGGGAAATTTCTTGCTGCTTTCCCTTTTGGTCCCTTTTTTTAATTCCTTCAATTTTTTTCCTGCTCCCTGTGCCCACATTAATATGCAAGCTCTGTTCTTGATTTGGGCTACATATATTGATTCAAAATGAAGATGTGCTAAACATCTTCATATGAATCTGATAATATGAAAGCTAAAACGTAAGGCATCACTTCCAGTCCTGGATAATCTTTAGCCATTGGTATTGGGGTGATCCAAACAAAAATGTGGCTTAATACTTAGTCAAGAGAAACCCCTGCCTTCCCTGTGATTCCATCCTGACTGATGAAGAGCAGTGTAACTGGACCAGTGTGTGTGGTGTGTCAGAAATGCTGTAATGGAGCATCCTCTGCTCTGGCTGCTCAGTGTTTGTGGCACTGCCCCGTGGAGACAAGGGGCAGCCATTCCCGATGGTGAAAATCCAATTTGTGCTGGAAAGCTGGAGCGTGTCTCGTGTGGAGTAATCGAATGAAGGAAGGGCAGCGTGCCCTTGTGGGGGTGAGCTGAGTGGGAGCCAGGAGCTGCTGCTGTCCCCTGTTGGGGTGGCTCTGGTCAGCCTGCCTTGCTTGTGGGTTTGTTTGCAGCAATGCAAGGCCAGGCCAGTGCAAACACACGAATAGATGCTGCCCTTCCCACATGGACAGTGCAATCACACGAATAGATGCTGCCCTTCCCACATGGACAGTGCAATCACACGAATAGATGCTGCCCTTCCCACATGGACAGTGCAAACACACGAATAGATGCTGCCCTTCCCACATGGACAGTGCAATCACAGGAATAGATGCTGCCCTTCCCACATGGACAGTGCAAACACACGAATAGATGCTGCCCTTCCCACATGGGCAGTGCAAACACACGAATAGATGCTGCCCTTCCTACATGGGCAGTGCAAACACACGAATAGATGCTGCCCTTCCCACATGGGCAGTGCAAACACACGAATAGATGCTGCCCTTCCCACATGGACAGTGCAATCACACGAATAGATGCTGCCCTTCCCACATGGACAGTGCAATCACACGAATAGATGCTGCCCTTCCCACATGGGCAGTGCAAACACACGAATGGATGCTGCCCTTCCCACATGGACAGTGCAATCACAGGAATAGATGCTGCCCTTCCCACATGGGCAGTGCAATCACACGAATAGATGCTGCCCTTCCCACATGGGCAGTGCAATCACACGAATAGATGCTGCCCTTCCCACGTGGGCAGTGCAAACACTAACACACGAATAGATGCTGCCCTTCCCACATGGGCAGTGCAAACACACGAATAGATGCTGCCCTTCCCACATGGACAGTGCAATCACAGGAATAGATGCTGCCTTTCCCATGTGTGACAGAGACAGGGAAGGGCTGGATGTGGCTGCAGGGTCAGTTTGGCCGGCAGGCGCAGGGCATGGGCTGCCCTGCCTCGGCCTCCGTGCTTCACTCCACACTGCTGAGCATCCCTCACTCCCTGTCCCGGGTCACACAGGAGCTCGTGTCCCTGCCCGCTGCCTGCACAGTGAAATGCTCTCCCTGCAGGATCATTTCTGCACTACCTCCTGGGCACAGCTACAGATGTTCTGCTGAGGGGCTGCCAAGCACAGAGCAAAAAGGCCGAGCTCCAGGAGGAAGTGGGAGTGCAAGCAACGAGGGACAGAGAGGCCCTGGGAATTTTATGGGCTTTTTTGTCAGTGTTCATCTGCCTTATGAGGACATAAACTTGCTGCTTTAGAAGCAGGAGCTGTTGCAAGCAAAAGCACAATTAAAGCAAGTGGGCACAGATGAGAAGCTGCAGGGACACCAGATTTGTGATGGCTCTAAGTGACTTCAGGGCGCATGAACCCGGCTGGGGGTGTAGAAATAGAAATAAGGGTGGGTTTGAGTCTGCCCAAGGGCAGCACAGTTCCATTTGCTTTGTTTGTTTTATTACAGTTGTATATACCTGGTAAGATACTAAAAGGAGGTTGTTCCTCCATGCACGGGTTTTTCTGGCAGTGAACTTGTTTATATACTCAGACTTCCACCTACAGGTGCAGTGCAAACTTTGCTTCTTGAGAGAGCTTTATCCTTTATATGCTGCTCACCTCTTGGCCTTTATTTTATTTATGAATTTTATTTGAATTCATCTTGTTCAGTTTAAAGATGTTTTACTGTTTATGAGACTATATATTTTAATTATTCAGTGATCAGCACATTACATTAATTTTCTCTCTGCAGTAGTTGCCTTTTTTGGTAAGACACTTCTTTAAATAGGCTTAATACATGTACTAGCTTATCTGAGGCTTAGG